GGGGGGGGGTTCAACCCTGACACGTCGGAGGCCGTTCATTTACCCCGACATGCAGATTGCAGTGGTTTGCACAGGGGAAAGGGGGGGGCTGTCTCACATTGGGGTCCAGTATAGTCGCATTATTACTCTCTGGCAATGAGTTATGACGGCAGTTGTTGCCGCTGCGGCTCCTGGTGTGGGGGGTATGGATGTCCGGGCTTGCGCTCACATCAGCTATACCCCTTTTGCTTTTATCAACTTGTTAAGCGGAGTGTACTGGAAGATTGAAAAAAATATTTTCGCGCTGAAAAAATGAATCATAAGGAGAGGCTCTTAAAACCGGCCCTACGCGTTCGCAAATCGGCGGATCGCGCGGGTCAGTTTCTTGCAGATCCGTCTCCCTGCGCGCGCCACGCTACGCCACCCCGCACCGCCGCCTCGCCGACGACCAGACCCATCATCAAGGCGACGACATCCCGGCGGGTCCGAATCAAGTGTCCATTCAGCAGCGTCGTCGAGACGTGTAGCGGAGCGAGGCGGGGCGGGCCGGGGGACGTTAGTAAGGTGGTCACGGCAATAGCAGACGTCCTTCCTCCACCCTCCGCTTCGTTAAGTCCAATCTCGCGTCAGCAGCCACCCACCCCGCCGCCGTCGAACCCTCTCCCTGTCGGGGCGTCGTGGGGCCGTTCGCTCTGTTCGGGGTGCTCTCTTTTTTTTTTGGCGCTCCTTGTTCCGACAGTTATTTTGTAATTTACAAAAAAATAAATGGCCTGAAAACGTGTTTTGTCCGTCTTTTGTGTTGCAAAGTGGTCATACACAAGACGGTCGAAAATCTGCTGCGGCCGCCACTGCCGCCGCCACAGTCGGGCCTCGAAAAATAAATATGCGAAATCACTTGACCGCAGCGGGAGGATTGTTATCCTTTTTTGTTTTGCTGTTTGTCCCTCTTTTTTTCTGCGTGAAATGGCCGGCCATTGCGCGCGCAGTTTTGCGCAGAAAGACATTATGGTGGGCGAGCTTTGAGGTTCCGGAGGGGGAGAAAGAGGGGGGAAGGTTATGCCCATTGTGCGGCAAGCTGGGTATCATTTTTTGCACCTCTTTACCCCCCCCCCCCTCCCTCGCTCTCTGATTTCGATTTGAGAGGGAGGGGGCAACGAGCACAGGATGTCCGCGCTGCGCATGATTGGTTGGCCGTTGTGGCCAGACTGGAGAGCGAGAGAGAGAGAGAGATATATACGGGAGTGTAAAGGTGAGAGGAAGAGCGAGGGCGGAAGCGCTTGCATGTTCAGCCGACCTGTCTCCTCCACACGTCAGCACTGCAAGACTCACACTATGGCACCCGCCGCTGCTTGTCCATCAACATCAAAACGACACGTCGCCTCTCACTCGCTCTCTCCTAGCGTCGTGACTTTCCCCCCTCTCTCTCACTCGCTCGCCCTCTAGCATCCCGTCATAGTTTCATGTCGACACTGTATATTTGGTACTATCATCGTTTGCTCGCTCGAAATAATAGGGGACGAGATTTTGAAAACGTACCGTACAGATATGGAAAAAAACGAAGGTAATACTTGTCGATGTGTGTGCGGTGTGCGCGCTCTTTCACGTGAAAGGAACCTAGAATGGGTTTAAAAGTGTGATCGTGTCACACATACAGCGCCATCACGAAGTGTCGCGTGCGTGCTAGAGTGTGTGCGTGTGCGTGCGCGCGTGCGTGCCCCACGGGGTCGTACATGGGCGTGACACTGGTGGCCCTGGGGGTGGTTTGCCGCTGGGGGCGGACTGAGAGCCCCCAGAAGGGGGGAGACTTGCGCTGAACGCCCGTTTATAGTTGCCACTCTAGGGAGGAGTATAGGAGAAAAAGGCAGAAATATGGGGGGAAGGGGAAAGTTAGGCAAGAGGGGGGGGGGGGGGGGGGGCATTTTCGTAAAGGGACACACTACTCACACGCTCGCGGTGGATCGTCCGATCGATGCGTGACTCGTGCTCGCTTACTCGGCTCGGCTCGCTGTGGGTCTCTCTCTCTCTCTCTCTCTCTCTCTCTCTCTCTCTCTCTCTCTCTCTCTCTCATACAGGGGAGGAAGGGGGAGGCAACTCTCTTCTCCGCCAACGTGCGCGTGCAATATCGAGAGGTATATGCCGTGCACTATTGCGTACGTCTACCTGGGTTGGGGATGAGGGGGGCGATGATCGATCCCGTGCGCGCATCGAAGAGAGAGAGAGAAGGAGAAAAAGAGGGGGAGGGGTCGAAGGGGTGACCTGCTTGCGCCGCGTGAAACAACGACACCATTGGACGCCCACCGAAACGCCCTCACTGCTCCGCGACATCGACGAGAGCGAAACACGACAGGCACGACGCCCGCGCCCACCTTCGCGCCGGTCGACATGGCCGACGACGACCGACGACCACTCGCTCGCGGCCACTGACCGGCGCTGGTGCTGCTCCACTTTGTCGAGCAAACAACGCGTTTCACAAGAACGGCGGAAGCGAGTGTTTTTATTTTTTCGTGCTATTCTCTGATCCCCTTTCCTTTTCTCAATAATAACGGTTTCGTGTCGCGGTAAAGTCTACGAAAGTAGTTGGCCTTTGACCGTGTCTGGGCACGTCGTCGTGTTGTGGGGAGACAAACTTTTTCTCTCGCTGTGGGGTGGCGGGGCGTCGCGCCCCGAGGGGTGTCAGGCGCCGCGGCGCCAGCAGTCTTGGGCGCGGCACGCACGCAGAACACATTCGGACTTATTCATTCATTTGCTGCTATCTCGCCCCTTTGGGCGTCGCGTCACGCCACCACCGACTGGCTAGAGAAGGGGGGGGGGGGAGGTGGGGGTAATATTACAAGAGGCTTAACTCACCTTCCGCTCTTGGTGATGACCATCTCGGTGCCGAGCTTGTGGAACTTGTCCCAGAGCTCCTTGCTCTCGAGGGTGACTTTGGGGTCGTCGACGACGCCGTCGTCCTCGAGGGGGATGGGCCTCATGGGCCGGGGCACCATGGCGGGGTGGTGGCCGTGGTAGTGGGCGGCGATGGCGGCCGCGAGGACCACGTCGTCGGCCAGCGGGTAGGGGTGGCCGGGCGGCAGGCCGTTATGCTGCATGCCGTTGGGCGGCGCGTGGGGCAGCCGCGGCAGGAAGGGGTAGCACGGCGGCGAGCCGTTGGCCGCGAGCGCCGCGAGGAAGTTGTAGGGCGGCATGCCGTGCGGGGTGTGGCCCGCGGGGCCGGCCGGCCTGCCCGCCAGCGGCGACAGCGGCAAGCCAGGCGCCCCGGGCGACGTCTGCGGCGAGGCGAGGTGCGTCGTCGACGAGGACGACTCGGGCCGGCCGTTGCTGACGCCGCCGGCCTCGCGGCCATCGCGCGGCTCCGAGCCGGCCGAGTCGGCCCCCGGCGGCGTGGTGCTGGGCGCCGTCAGCAGCGAGCTCACGCTGCAACAGAGAGAAAAGAGGGTCATTAGGGAGGCAGGCATAGACAGTCGGGGCACGAACATTGAACGTTAGGAATTCTAATTTCCAAAATGT